GATGCCAACAGCGCCGCGCGCGCAGACAACGGCGCGCGCGCAGACCCTGATGCCAAAGACTATGCTGCCGACAACGGATCTGTTTTCTGCCTTATAGCAAACTAAGTCTTTTTCATTGTAAATATATAGTAGTTTTATTCCATGTACTTCCATTATGTTTCTCTAGCTTAATCAAGTCTTGTCTTGTAGCTTTGGATTATTTTTTTTAAGCATTATTAGGGGGGATCAAGCAATCAAACTTTCTAGCAAGCAAACAATTCTCTGTACTGGTGTCTCTCCCCCTCGACACCGCGTTGCCTTTCTGTAATAGCTTTCATTAATGCAATCAAGCTTTCTTTCATTCTCAATTCTCATTCATGTTCTCTCAATTGCTCTTGACATTGGTTTTCCCGTACGGCACTGACAATCTAGTCTAGCGTACGGAGGGGACCTCAGTTGGCGGACAGCAACTGCACTGACATCAGTTGCTTAGCCTTACGTCGCCCTTCCAAGGAATCTCAGGAAGGCGCCGCGTAACAGTTATAATGATCACAAATACTGTTCCAGTCACTATGCTAGTAGTAAGTTGGTCAAAAGTGACTAGACCATTGTTTTTACCTGAAAAACCACTGCTCTCACCGTAAGTTGAGAAAAAAAAAGTCATCGGAATATGAAAAAGTCGTCGGAATGTGATGGGATCAGGATGGGTAGACTCAGAATCACCTCATGAGCAAGCTGTCTTCAAGGAATTTTGCTGGAATCTGGCCAAAAAGTGGCTCATGCGCTGGAAAATGGAGACAGTTGCCGGAAAATAAAAAAGGTCGTCGGAATTTGTTGTAACATGGATGGGTAGGCTCATAATTGCTTCTCGAGCCAACTGTCCTGAAGAGTCGTTGCCGAAAAATGGTCGGAAGGGGTCTCGTGCTGACGCGTGAGAAAGAATCTCGCGGGAAAATTTTCTTTGGCCGGCGCGTGTGGGTTGACGAGGTTTTCTATTGGAGATATTTTTATGGGTTGGTCGCTGCAGGCTGATCTACCTCGTGGTGTTGTTGCTTTTTTTCACAACATTGACAGATAATGATTTTTCTTAACTGGACAGCCTTAAGTCGCTGGAAAAATTGTGCGGCGAATGGTCTTTCTTCCCGATGTCGCTGGAATGCTGCGCATCAATAATTTTCTAAGTTCTCTGATACCAGGTGAGAAAGCACGAGAGGAAAAATATATTATTGATCATCATTTACTATAATACAACCTATTTATATCTACGCTCTACAAATACATACTACTTCTATTCCATTGTGGGACTAAGCTTACTAGTACATACATAAACTATCTAACAAATTTGATTTAAAATCTAAACGTACTGATTTTTATTTTAATGTTCTGCCATTCTTATGAGTGTGTACCAAAAGTATTTTCAATGCACACTCAACTAGTATTTCTTAAAAAAATAAAATAAAAATGCACACTCAAGTAGTGGTGGGACCAAAAAAAGATAGCATATTATGGAGGTACCAAATATTCAATATTCGCTTTATGCTCCTTCTATTGACAAAAGAGTTGTCTTAATTGATTTTGCTACTATAGATTTTTCCCGAGCAAATTTCGTTTTGGTGCTTTCAAGTATATTGACCCGAAAGCGGACTACACCTTAACTATTTGTAACAAATAAATTTTCTCTGTTTTGTGAAGATGATTATTTTTAATCGTAAGGAGGTCTGAAAGATTGGCCTTGTTGGATTCAAGGAGAGGTAGAGGCAGGCCTAAGAAGTATTGGGGAGAGGTGATTAGGCAGAACATGTCACAACTTTAGCTCATTGAGGACATGACCCTTGATAGGAAGGTGTGGAGGGCTAAAATTTGGGTACAAGGCTAGTAGGTAGTCAAGCGTTTCTCCTCGCCATACCAGTAGCTTTAATACTATTCCCTCTTTTTTCCTTACCCTTCGATTTCTATCACTACACGTTTCTTGTGCTTCTGTTATCTTATTATCTTGCTGTTGATGCGGCTTCTCTTTTATGGCTTTTCCACTGCTGTGTTTCTTCTTAAAACTGCTATGACTGTGCGTTGCTTGAGCTAGGGGTCTATCAGAAACAACCTTTCTACCTTTGTAAGGTAGGAGTAAGGCTGTGTACACACTACCCTCTCCCGACTCCACTTGTGAGATTGCACTGGGTTTGTTGTTGCTGTTGTTGTTGTTACATTCATTAAATAGTCGTCTCTTTGTTGCTAAATGATGGCTGTGCTCCATATACTTCTAAAGGATCTGTTTTTCTTCGTTTATGATCAAATGCATTTAGTTTCTAAAATTAAATGTAATTGTTTCCTTTTTTCATAATGCTTTTCCCTAGGTGGATCTCTGTCGGTTCAGATCTGAAATTTGATGCAAGAAGAGACATGGATGATGTGGGTGCTATGTGTGTAGCAGGTAGTTATTTGAGAGTCCTAAATATGGTCTCAGGTTAAATGCTGCATGCGATCTAGCTCGTTCCTTCTCTGTTTGTTTATATCAGTATGTGCTAATGTGTAGTTTGCTGATAATGGACGTCTTAAAGTGTTCTTTGATACTTACCTTTAAAGAGATTGCTTTTATGTACTCCTAAAGTCTCCAACTCAAAGGAGTATAAACTTAAAGCACCTTCCTTTCTTTGTTTTTGTTTCTGGGGACTGCAAAATTAACTGATAATTCTGGAAGCTTGGATAGAGGCAGCCGGAATGAGGTGTTAATTACTCTATTAGAAATCTAACGGAAGTGTTGACAAAGATGTTTTGGTAGTTTGAGACAGCGATGAATATCTTTTGATCTTATTCTTGGGCTATTTGTGATAAGTGCTAAAACATAGTTATTTTGGGTCAATTGACGATGCATATGGACCACATTCTACTTTTTTCTGAGGTGGATTTGTACCTGTCACATACAATGAGTTGCTTCTTTTTGTGGATCTACGTACGATTTTTCTGATTTATCAACTGTACGTATGATATGGTGAAACAATGTATGGTTCCTTATGCATTCTTTTCTTTTGTTGTTTCCGGTTCCAAATGGTTAATGACTGGATGGATTTTGTAACTTAATATCTATAACTTTCTCTTGTAGTGCATGCTTTGAACAAGCTACCTTATTCTAAGCTTGACTCAAAGTCTGTTGGCATCAGGGAGGGAGTTGTTTTTTCAACATACAGCAGTCTCATAGCATCTTCAGAGAAAGGTCGGTCCCGTTTGCAGCAGCTTGTACAGTGGTGTGGGCCAGAATTTGACGGTCTCGTCATATTTGATGAGGTATAATTTTGGACTACTTTCAATATAGTTTGCAGCAAAAAATGTATCCATGTTATGGATCTTGGTCAGTAGTCCATATTCTTGCGAGAAAGAGACATCCAACTTGTCTCACTTAGCTATGGTTTTACTATTTATTTGTAGTGTCACAAGGCAAAAAATTTGGTCCCTGAAGCTGGAGGACAGCCAACACGAACTGGTGAAGCTGTACTTGAAATCCAGGTTTGTTTTTTAAATTGTCACTGAATTTCTGTGAAAATGTGGTTCCATCCAAATTGAGTCATTGGAACATTGAGTTCCCAAAAAATATATATTGTGCTAGAAAGGAAAGCAAGTTGAGATCTCTTCCTGCTGTCTGGGTTTCCTCTTTCTTCTTCCCCTTTCTTGTAAGTTTTTTTTGGAGGAATGAAAAGAACATTAGTGATAATATAGAAGGACAAGAAATACGGATAATGTGACATAGAGCTTGCTGAGAGAGTTTTTCCAGTCTCTTTGAAGAATAGTTAAGGCCGCTCGAGAAAGAAAATCCTGCTATCTTGCACCTGCAAGAAGAGACAGTTTGTTACTCTGTCCCACACGGTGACCGAGGGCATATTCAATTGCTTGGGGAATTCTTTGAATTCAAGCCTTGGGCGATTCACTACGGCAAATATCGCAGTGCTCTACTAGAGCCCCAAATCTTTGTACTAACAAACTCAAAACTCATTCCAGGAGGAATGATTTTTGATTCAATAACATGGTAAATGATCTCACCAAATCTCCCTAGCAAGAAAATATGCGAGATAACTCTGAGATGCTCATTGCATTGTGTAGATGATATTCCAATTAGGAAGAATTGCATTATATTGTATCCCAATATGCAGTCTTTTCCTAGGGTTTTAAGCTAGAAAGAAAGAAGCGATGCACAACTTTAAAAAAATAGGATTAAAGTTCCATAACATACATGAATTTAGAGGTTTACAAATTGGAATCCCAATAAGATTATCCAATTATATTTTCAACCATTGCACCCAAAGGTGTGGCCTAGTTGCTAATGAAGTGGATGTAAACCTTGGAGATTCAAAATCTCAACAAAGACAAAAAATAAAAGGTGATTTCTTTACCTCTATCGAAGCTAAGCGAGAGTTACCCTATACCTATGCTGGTGTATTCTACAGAATAGTCAAGGTGTGGGCAAGTTGGCCCAAACACCACCATTATGTATATATGTATAAGCATGCATGTGCCGAATAATAAGAAAAAAAAGTGAAATTAGTCCGGAAAGTAATTTCAGCTCAACGTTTAATTTATATATAATTTTTGTTCCAATATTGAAGAACAACTAGAGAAAAAATTGAGTGTAGCTAACTGCATGTCAGGTCGAATAACAAGAAGAGAAGTAGAGAACTAGAACTCATTAAGAGAGCAAATTTCAAGAGAACAAAATTTCTAGAGAGAAGAATAATAAAACAAAAGTCAAAGAGAATGTAGTAGAAGCAGATGGAAGATGGAGAAGAAGAAGAGGAGAGCAAGTTAAGAAAAATTAACCTCTGCAGTGAATTTGACTCTATATGTCAAATGAGGTAGTTGGCTCAGAAAGAAGAACGGAGAGTCGGGGATTTTATGTACTTGGATCTTGGAAAAGCTTATTACTTTGTGAATTAGGAATTTTTGGATTTCATTGTGTTGAAGATGGGTGTTGGGATAAGTGGAGGAGATAATCAAATTTTGCATATCAATTGCTAGATTCTATGTGTTGGTGAATAAGAGTGTGTATTTTTTTGTTAGCTCGATGGGCTTGAGCCAAGGTGATCTGTTATCTCCCATGCTATTTATTTTGGTGATGGTGACTTTGAGCAAGATGGATAGTGTTGTTGCAAGAGGTCTCTTAAGGGGTTTCTCTGCCTTGTTTATGGGGCATAACAACGTCATAGTCGCGCATATTTTATTTGTAGGTGAGTGGTATTCTGTGATGCAAATGGCTCCCAACTGTCATACTTGAGGCATGCCCTCATCTATTCTAGACCTCAAGATCAACCTTAGAAAATGTGAGATCATATCAATTGGCGGGCTGAATGACATTAACGAGCTTGCGCAGGTGATGAAATGTAAGCTAGGTGCATTACCTACTATCTGTATGGATCTACCTTGTCCTTTGGTACCTCAAACAAGGACTGTGTGGAATTCAATGATTAAAAGAGTTGAGAAGAAGCTAGCCGGATGACAAAAGAGGCAATTTTCGATAGGAGGGAAGTAAATATTTTGTCGAAAGGATCTTACTCTGTTTGTCGCTTCTCCAGGCCCCGTTATCGTAACTGAAAGGTCGGAAGGACTTCAATTGAACTTCTTATGGGATGCAACGGATGGAAGTAGCACTTCATTCAGTGAATTTGAAAGAAGTCATGTCTCCAAAGAAATGGAGAGGACTTGCAGTGAAAGATCTTAGGATTTTAAGTGGATTTGGTGGTTTGAATTTAAGAAGAATGCTACGTGGAGGGGAGTGTTAGCAGTGCAGAGGGATGGTTGGAGGAGTACAGACATCATAATTTTGTGAGGGACTCCTTGTTGAGATTTCTAGTCCAATATGCGTAATGGTACGATGGATAGATTTAGCTAGCAGACATCGTGGAGATGTATTCTTAAAGTTTTTCAAGCTATTATCGATACTCTTTATCATGAATGTGGTTAAGTTTTACAAGGAATACGGAGATGAGATCATATGGAACCTAAATTTTCGAAAACTTCCATGATGGGAGGTCGAAGAGCATAACAATGTTCTTAGATGTTGTTGCGACTAGAAAATCCCTCACTGTTACTGTTAGAGATATTCGATGCAGATGGTTTGAGGGAAGGAATGTTTGTAGTTCATTTTATGGCAAATTGTCTCTGAGGTAGGAGGGAAGGAATGTTTGTAGTTCATTTTATGGCAAATTGTCACTGAGGTAGGCGAGGACCTTTCCCTCTATTCCATGTGATCTCTAGAGGTATGAGAAATGTGTACTTTTTCACATGGTTGGCAACATGTGGACCTGTTGTCACCACAAGTAATCTAACAAATAATGAGAAATCTTTAATTATTGCTGTTTGAGATAAAGAACAAGTCTTATCGCAATGACATCCTTGAGTAGTTCTTATTATTATTCTTTCTTTGAAGTAGTTGCGCTTCTTGGGATATATCTGTTGAGGGTGGCCTATGGGTGCAGGATTTCTCAAAAAAAGTGTAGGATGACTTTGATATTGTTCATGTTTTAAGTAGCATGGGAATATATTAACGTTCTTTTACTTCATTTCTTGATGGTATATTGGGTAAGGTTTTCGGAGAGATAGAGAAACATGGCATGAGAAGTAACTGCTTAGTGCTTATGTGGATTATTTGGAAGGAGAGATGTGAGAAGTGTGTGATCATCTCGTCTATAAGCTTTGTTAGAGATCGCCTAAGTTGCTCGGACACCGGTGCGAGTGCCCGATATGGGTGCAGATCTAGAGGTCGGATCCTTCGAAATGTAAATTCTAAGGTTTGGCGATATGGATCCTAGTACGGATACTGGTGCGGGGATCCGGCTAAAATAATTCAAAAATATAAAAATATCTCTAAATTATGAAAATTTTGTGGAATACTTACGTAGAGCTTGTAAAGTGTGGATTTCTTTTTTATTCTCTAGTTGTAGATTAGTAAATGATTGATTTCCTAGATAATTTCTTCAAATTTACCTGAGTTTTAGTTTTGATTTTGAGAATCAAATTATATCTCGTCTCGAATTTTTCCATTCGTCGTGGTCAAAGTACTCAAAATTGTTTGACCAGATCTGGTACGGATCCCATAGCCGCACTCATACTAGTGTCGTGTCGATACGGGTGCAACACTTAAATTGCCGTGTCGGAGCAACTTAGGAGATCGCGCTTTTATTTAGTTAATTATGTTTTTGCAACACACTCCTTCATGTGTGGACTTGATTCTTTTCGTGGGTCAAGCACATGAAAATTCTTTTTGATAATAGGTGGCGGCGAGACTCGAATCTAGCACCTCTGCTTGCTCTGATGCCATATTGAATAGTGTGTGATTATCTCATCTAGAAGCTTAAGCTGTTAGAGAGTTAACATGCCCCTCACGTACATGCATAATTATTTTTTATGAGCCAACAACGCGGAAAATCCTTTTGATAACGAGATGGGGATTTGATCTCCTTATATGGTCTTGGGCAATACTCACCTCATAAGCTATCTTTTGAGGTTGAGTTAGGGTCAATTTCAATTTCTTCTCATGGTATCAAAGCTAGACCTATATCCATCCCAATTTTTGGTTTATCCGATGTTGAGCCCCTATATTATATTTTACATGCTCCAGTTTGCAAGCCTTGGCGTGTAGGGGTGTTGAGTTGTCCCACAATCGGATGTGGGATGGGAACTTGGTCTCCTCATATAGTCTTGTGCGATCCTCACCTCATGAGCTAGCTTTTGGGATTGGGTTACGGCCAGAGGTCCATTTTTTTCACCTGCTATATTTGTTTAACCTGTATTAATCTTTTTTGATCAGTTTTTCCTATTAGTATATATAATTGGATGTTTTTCGTGGAAAATCATGATGATTCTTTACCTTTTGTTGTGCATTTTAGCATTACGTTTCACCATGGGATTCTAATAACTTTTATCTAGGCCTCTCAACAGAACCCCTAAGTTAGGGGGCCAGCCTTTGAGTGGTATAACCTGCAACAGAAGCTAGAGAACAAAACCTAGTCTGGTCAATATCAACACCTGTAATCCCCCATTAAGCTATGATTTTATTCAGTGATGAACACTGTACAACATATTCGTAAAAAAAGAAATACAGTAGTGGTGAAAAAAACTTGTCATTTCTGATAAGTTTGCATAATCTTTGAGTAGACTTGCTGCTATGTTGGGTTTATTTGCCTTAGGCAATTTTGGGTCATTCTACATATTGCTCTTGATATCTGTAGCACATCAACAACTATTACTACCAAGCAAATTGGTTTTGCTTGTCTTGTTTTCTTAGTAACTGGCATTCAAAAGCTAATTGCATTTTGTATTACAGGCTCGTCTTCCTCAAGCTCGTGTTGTTTATTGTTCAGCGACTGGTGCTTCTGAGCCTCGTAATATGGCCTACATGGTTCGCCTTGGTCTTTGGGGAGTTGGAACTGCTTTTCTCAATTTCCGTGACTTTTTAGGTCAGGCTTCTGATTGCTAAAACCAACAGTTTCTTAGCATAGTTCTCTCTCTCTCTCTCTCTCTCTCTCTCTTTTTTCTTTTTTAAATTTTGATCAGTAAGCAAAAGAAAATATAGCATGAACAGCAAAACCAGCACTAAGGAAGTGCTTGTATTCCTGGCGAAGTTTTATTGATCATGAAGTTATAACTACCTGAGTCATCTCACTTTCAATGACTTTTAAAAGTAAGTTTTATCCTAATGTATTAAAACTAGTTCATATAGCGGCCCTAGATGCAAGAGAAAAAGGTAAGAATTTGAAGATGATATATCAGTGGTTATGTCATGCTGTGGTAGATTATTGATTGCTTTGTTTGCATCCACAATTACTCTAAGTTTACACTTGGCTGGATATGTGCTTAGTGGGAATATGATACTTGATACCAAGGAGCCTTTTGGCCATGAGAATTATTCACTTTTTCCCGGAATAATTTTTCACTTTATTTCAAAATTCAAAATCAATGTTTGGTTAGGAAATTTCCAAATTGAACTTGGAGCTGGATTCCAACAACAACAACCACCTCAGTGTAATCCCACTAGTGGGGTCTGAAGAGGGTAGTGTGTAAGCAGACCTTACTTGGAGTTGGATTCCAAATTTGGAGAAGTGCTCCAAACATGTTTTCCAACTCCATCTTCATAAATTTCAAATAAAGTGTTCTCTTCTCTCCTTTGCAAAAAGTATAACCAAACATAACTCCATCTTCAACTCCAACGTCATAAATTCCAAATAAAGTGAAAAAATATTTGGAATCTATGGCCAAATGCCTACTAAGTGTTGTGGTAGTTTCAGCAATTTTTTGTGGAGGAGATAAAAGAGTACCATCTTTGTTACTTTTTGAGAGAGCTATTAATCTAGTGTTTCACCAGGCTTGTGTCCATATTTTAGTATGATTTATTTTAACCATTTTTCAACTAAAATAATGGAGGTATTGGCTTCTCACCATTCTGGTTTCGGACAAGGCATGCATGGGGAGAATTTTTAGCTCTGCTTTTCCTCCATCTGAATGCATGAGGAGAAAAAGAACATAAATATAAATACGTATAATTTGATGTTAGAAATAGCTAAAATCTGAATTATGTGGGCTGCTAAAGCCAGCTAAAACCTGAATATCATGAAAACACAAATCTCTTTAACTGGGACATAAAAGACGCGCTTTGTTGTTTCCCAAAAGTACAGATATGGAACATGAGGATTAAAAAAGGAGCACATTTTGATGGCCCGCCAAATCATCATGCCACTTGTGCCTATCTAGCTTCCCCTTTGGACAACCAACCTATCTTAAAGGCTGGCTTAACCTTGCAAGTGTGAACTACTTGTTAAGTGCCACACGTACGCTTAGTTTAGGATTAAGGACGTGACAAGTTGTTATCAAAGCAGAGGTCGTACTATGAGAATAGCACAGGAGAAGGAAATAAACACTGGTAACACTCAAGCCAATGTTAACCAAGGTGTTGTTGCCAAGAAGGGCACTAGCAATTCTTCCCCAACAATGCCCTTTTATGAAGCAAGGCCCAAGTTTGGAGAGCTGAATCAGACAGGGAGAATTCGCGATTGTATCAAGGAGTTTACCGCCCTTATGCTTCAAATTCCCAATCTAAGTGGCGATGACTTGTTCCACTTCATGGATGGGTTGCAAACTGGGCGGTGGAGTTATAGTGTCGGAAAGTCGCTGACATTGATCAAGCTATAGTGGAGGCCCAATCCTTAGTGGACTTCAGGCACAATCAAGGTCAAGGCAAGGGCAAAGAGTCGAAGATGCCAAAGATGGGCAACATAAAGAACAACCCTAAGACTCAATACAACAAAATCGAAGGTAAGAAGTCATAAGGCCGCAAGAGTTATGTCCAGAAGAAAAAACATGTTGGTCAGAAAGAGCTACATCATAAATGATGCAGGAAGAAAGTATGTATAGGATCCAACATAAAATCAATAACAACTCATTTGATATTGGCTCTAATACCATGTAAAGAAAAGAGAAAGAAGAAATTTGGGGGAATAAATTTCTTGATTATTCCCTCAAGCACGCTAGGGTCTGAATAGTGTTTATAATTAATAAAAGGAGTGAGCTCTTTCTGTTTTAAATAATCTCCTAATTCTTAACTGTAACCAGTGTTGTCAAAGGCGCGCTTAAAGCGCGCTTAAGCCCTGAAGCGAGGCTCAAAAGATGTTGAGCGCTTTGCCTCACTTTCTGTGCGCTTTAGTATTTCATCACGGCTCTAAGGCATACTTTTCCTAGCCAATGAGTGTAATCCTGTAAAAGCGACATTAAACAATTGATATTTTACTTTTTTCGTAATTTTTTTCCAATTCTTTGTCCGTATATTTGTTATTCCTGCTTATAATTATTAATGTTGGACTACATATACATATTTTTACTTTTTCTCAAGTTGCGCCTTTTTTCATTAAAGCCCACGCTTTATTTGCGCTTTGCACTTAAAGCCCCAACGGACCTTAGAGTTTTTTTTGCACTTTTCGCCTTTGATAACACTGGATGTAACTAATTTCCAGTGCATATAGTCGGTCTTACAACTCTTTATCCCAAGTCCGTTACTCTCTAGAGTGCTTCTTCATAGTTCAAACTTTTGGTTTACGCCTTTGTTAGTTTCGTTAATTAGCACAACACTTTATACTCTTTCCTTAGCATGCCTTGTTGCCCATGCAAATGTTGCCATTGACTCAGATCAATTCCTTGCCAATGTAACATCTTCCTCCATATGATAGTAGAGAACATACACTCAAAGAGCAGGTGCTCAATGTCTTCGTTGGCAACATAACATAAAGGACAGACCAACTCTTTTATAGTCCCCCACTGTGCTAGTTGGTCTTTGTAAGTACAACAACACCACCCTAGTAATAATCCCACTAGTGGGGTTTGGGGAGGGTAGAATGTACGCAGACCTTACCCCTGCCCATGAGGGTAGAGAGGCTGTTTCCGGAAGACCCTCGGCTCAAAAACAAAAGATGTGAACAACAATAGAAAACATGCAAATAAGATCAGCACTGTAAGTGACAACAAATAAGTGGGAAGGGCAATAATTATGGCAATAATAAAAATTGTAAATAAACTATAAAATAACAGATAGTTGGTCTTTGTAAGTAATCTTTATAAAGCTCCACTTTAGGGCCCCTTATTGCAGACCAGTTTTCTCCCCTCAACTTTTGGGAATTCACCTCTGAGCTTTCACATTCAGTTTTTTAACAGAGAAATTACCTCTGTTGCATATCAAATTCCCTGAAGCCAGTTAATACAAGATTCTTTTTCTCCTTCAAGATCTTTTGTACCACCCATGAGGCCTGTTTTGCTTGTGCTCCCCATACCTGGCTACCCTTCACATAGAAGATGTGCAGCGACCTAACCCATAATTTGTCCTTCTTACTCTCAAAAGTAGCTTACAAATTGCAGCCTTATTCCAAGTCTGTATAACCATAAAATTAACTCCACCAGTAGTTTTTGGGCAGCATAGCTTATCCCAAGCTATTAATGCTTTCTTGGACACTTAATATCCCAGTCCACAAAAATCTTCTACAAGTTGTTTCAATCAACTGGACCACATTCTTTGGCTAAGAGGAACCACCAAGTATCTAACAAGCAATTCACCCTTAGTGAACCCCAAAGCTTGTATGAGAGCAATTTGATCATATGGATTACCCCCTTCCCCAGGTTAAGTAGAGCTTTTATCAACATTTGCAATTAGGCCAGAAGACTGAGAGAAGGTCTTGAAACATTTTAAGAGCATTTGAACTGAAATGAGATTACCCCTGTAGAACAACAATAGATATCTGCAAATCCAAACTGAATAAGCTGCAGCTTTGCATATATAGGATGGAAGTTGAAATAAGGCTGCAATCTTAAGGTTTTCAATGGTCGGGTCAATTACTCCATAGCCAACACAAAAAGAAAAGGGCACCAGAGATCACCCTGTCTTATACCTTCCTTTGCTTGGAAAGGAGGAACATGTGCACCATTAATAAGGATTGAATATGACACAGAGGTCACTGAAGTCATAATCCAGCGGACAAAGGTTTCACGGAATTAAGACACACAAGAAGCTGCTCCAAATAGCTTCACTCAATAGAATCATAGACTTTCCTCAAATCTATATTTAATATACAACTAGGAGATACACACTTTCTCCCATACCCTTTAACCAACTTATGGCTAAGAATGATAATGTCAGTGATAACCCTTCTATGTACAAAGAAAGACTAACTAGTATCAACCAAAATATACATCACATGCTGCAGTGTTGTCAAAGGCTCATTTAAGGCGCACTTAAGCCTTGAAGCTCAGGGAGGGTTCTTCGCTTCGCTTAAGTTGCGCTTTAGCCTAAGGCAAAGCACTAAAACATGCACCTCATTGCCCATGAGTTCTGTTGTAAATCAAGCGGTACTAAATCCACTAGGGTAGTCGGACAAAGCCATGTAGGAAAACATTATGAATGAATATTTTACTTTATTATTGAATTACACACACACACACACATATATATATATATATATATATTTCTCCTTCATTGCACCTTGTTTTACTAAAGCCCACACTTTAAGTGCGTTCTGAGCTTAAAGCCCCAGCAGACTTGAAGCGCTTTTTAGAGCTTTTCGCCTTTAACAACACTGACATGCTGCATTCTTTTTATGAGGATATTAGAAATGAGTTTATATAAATGTAGTACAGCATGATATAGGTCTAAACTCTTATATTCTGGAGGGTTTGGTACCTTGTGAATAAGTTTAACAGTGGTGCAATAAATGGTCTTATATAGGATACCTGTTGAGAAGAAATGGGCAACAACGTCTGTAGTTGCATCACCAATTATAGCCCAAGCCTTCTTGAAGAAGTGTGCATTGAACCCATCACAACCAAGTGCCTTTAAATCATCAATATCCTTTAGAGCTTGATACACTTTTTTTTTTTTTGGTAACAGGGGTAGTTAGCAGCAACTCATGGCTCCTGTCAAGGA